CTTTCTGCCCTCTTGTACTTGCATCACTTACACACATATGCACACGTCTTGCATGTACTATTAAGTCCTACATACTTCACTCATTAAATGATTCAACTCACTTAATCCATGCCTGTTCAAAACACAGAAACTACCAGTTCCTTCAATCTACCCACCCTCTTTCATCAATATTGTTTTAACTCAGACTTCTGAATTTTTAATTTTGGTCTTCAAATTGCTCCCATCCCAGTGAAGTTCAAAGCTTTGGATTACCACCTCATTTCTGAATCCTCAGCAGAATCAAGATCTCCTAGTTCAGCAGAACATCATGAGTCCTCTCACTAGGTACCTCTATGGTCTCCTTTGCTCTCTGACAGTGCTCTCAGAAGAACTGCAAGTTCAATTCATTGATCCAGTCTGTGTAACTCAACTGAGCAATCCTGACCATATTTAATCAAGAGGGGCCTGACCATAGAAAGCAAGTACAAAACCAAGCTCTTCAAAGAGTACAGTGGGTTTATGCATTGGTGATATTATCCCTTTACCTACAATACCTTCATGGCTAGAACTACAGTCCAGTGCTGATTTACAACACCATAATCTAGGCCAGGAAGATAGATTTTATACACTAAGGAAAAAGGTGACTTGATTGAGGAGATACAAAAATCCCCATGTCAATACTGTACTTGATCTGATTAGAATTTCACACAAAAAATGCTCAAACTGATCTTGGAGTAGGGACTGTATCCAAGTGTTCCCACTTAGACTAACGTTCCAGTGCATGCTTTAAGAGGTTAAACTTTTCTCCAGTCCCAAAACTCAGAGATTGTTTTCTGCAGTGTTCTGCTTATGAAAGTAGCGGCTTAGTTAGTTACTTTACTGCACAAGAGGGCTGCAGGATATGAAATCTGATCTGATAAAAATATTTCCCTGCAACCCTGCGTAAGTATCTAATCACCCTGACATGGCCAGGGTATAAGACCCAACTCTGCCATCAGGGTTTCCCATTAGATAACTTTGGCTGCTCCCTATTCAACACAATGTCTATTTTGATTCTCATTCATGGATCTGATGACTAGAGAGCTTATGTGCTTAATTCAGCTGTGTAGATGTCACTCAGGTACAAAAAAAAAAACAAACAAATACAGACACAGAACAATATTGTATAAACCTTCCTTTCCTAACAGATTTAGTTAAGATTCTGCATGCCTTGTTTCTCATTTTCAATATTACATGGACCTTTGGAAGCCTACAGCTTGTTTCTGCAGCCTTATTTCTAGAGTCACAACAAAAGTCACTGATGGATAAGGAAAAGAAAGCAATTAACAACATCAAATATTTTGGGAACTAATGATGTAGTTTGTTCTCACTATCTCCTAGCAAGGTATCTGGATATAGACTTTCTTCCCACTCCTCTCCCTGCTGCCCCAGATTTCTATGTAAGTGAGTTCAATAGATTGCAAATGTTGTAATACAAAAATTAATTTGTTACATGCACAGTTCAGATAATAGTGATGGGACATACCTCTCATGGTATGGGAAACAGTTATCTTGTATACCTGTAGCAAGCAAGCCTTTTTCCAGTATATATTATTTTTAATCTTTATATTGTGTAAGAGTTGAACCTTTTGTGGCCATGGGCCTGTCACATGAGATCATATCTTCCTTCTGTAGGGAAGCCTGAAGAAATAACTTAAAACTATTAGAAATAAAACTACTAATTGTATTCCTAAGGCCTAGTAGGCAGCAAAGCATCGACACATCATTTCTTCCTTGAAATAAGTAAGAGTTGAATATTTTGAGAATGTTATGAAGCTGCTGTTTTCATACTACAAACAAAAGTAAGAAGATTTTTAAAAGATACCTTATCAAATGATAAATAAAAAAGATAAAATTACTTGCTCTGCTGTTTTAAGTACATAAGATGTTAAAAGTTCAGGCACCTGTATTCAGAGATCAGTCTAGAGTCCTGTTTTGCAATCATAAAGTATGATACGATGACTAAACATCTTAAATATAGAACATAAAAATCCTATTCCAAATCTGAGAAATGCTAACAATAAAACACTTGTATGTAGGTGAAATATGCTTATTCTAACATTCAAGTATTTACCCTGAATTCCAATTCTGAATGACTGTATGTATTAAAATGGCAGACCAGAATAAAGTCTCCAGAGACTGATTCAATCCAATTACTTTTATCCACCCGTAATCCTGGGCATATTGATTATCCCTGTACCCTTTTATTGCTGTCCAATCAGTTGACCTGAGTCTTTAACAAACAACTAAACATTTTGGGTTGAAGTAAATGAGAGATGCCACTTTCAGCTTGCACATTTCAAACAAAGAGCAGGAAGAGAAAGGTTCCCTTAGCTCTGGGCTATCCTGGCTCCCAGGTCAAACAAGCAAAGAGCACAAATTTTCCTAATGTATGTAGTTTTTGAACTCTTTGGATTCCCCAAGTTTCAATCAAAAGCCATAAGCAGACTTGTCCACTTCCACAATGGCAGGGCTGATTAGCTCTGCTTCCAATAAGGCTTGTGTTCAGGGTATTCAGTTATTTAGCTCTGTCAGATGTTTAAGCATTTGGACTAGATGTAATTTAGATTTCTCTAAAAATCAGTTCTCATATATTGGACCACAGGTCTGAGAGAAGAAAAAGCTTTGGATTTGGGCTGCAAATAAAAGTCTCTGGCCTTAAATGGACAGTCAAAAATTTTGAGCAGTGAACCACTCTCAGCTAACTTAGATGAAAAAATGAGGGCCCATCTATGCATTCAGGTACTTCCAAGTCCTGAGAACCAGATTCCTTCTGAAAACAATTGTAGTCTGATTGTCAAAGTACATCCTACTGGATGGAATGCCCAAGTTCAGTAAAGCTGAAGATATTCAAACATGAATTTGAACCCACAATTTAGTAGACAGCACATTTTCCTAAAAGGGTAAAAACCTGAGATTTGATCCTCACTCAGAGTTTTCTGCATTTTTCTTTAAAAAGGTATAATTTAAATTACAATGAGAAAGTTTTTCACCAGGGAATTCTGTCTAAACTTTTTTTTTTTCTGATCAGATTACTGTAAATATTACAGTACAATGTGTCTTGTGTTCTTGTTCTTTCTGGCCATGAGGCCAGAGTAAACAGTAACAATTTCATCAGGACAGGTGGAGAGTGCTTTCTTCACTAGCTCTCTCAATGAGGACCTGTGTTCTGTCAGAATAACCAAATTCAACTTGAGAGCCCCCACTGTACCAGAAAGTGAACTGTGAGGGCTGCTCTGAAAGAAATGCCCCCTAGTTTGTTATTTTGTCCCATAATATCAGAGGCAGATGGTGGTGGTATGGCAGTAGAGGTTGCACCTTCCTCCCAGTATACCTTTATATTTTGTTGTTGTGTGACAGATGGCAGCAGAGGGGCAGTCTGATAGAATAGTGTCTGACATGGCAGTGCGTATGAAGCAAAGATGTGTTACTGAACTCCTCCATGTGGAAAAAATGGCATCCACTGACATTCACTGATGCTTTCCAAATATTTCTGGAGACTGAACAATGGACGTGAGCACACTGAGGTTGTGGGTGATGAGTTGCAGCAGTGGTGACAGCAACGGTGGGTCACCTCCACTGGTACAGATTTTTATCAGCATGGCATGCAGGCTCTTGTTCATTGCTGGTGAAAATACATAGCCAGTGGTGCTGACTTTGTGGAAAAATAGTATTCTGTAGCTAAGAATTTGTTCTATCGAATAGTATTATTGTGCTCTTTGTATACCCATTGTAGTTTCCATGGAAACATGTAGGAGGCATTACTTTGGAGAGACCTACGTAATACTGGAGTTCTCTAAACCAGACAGGGTTAAATGTTGAACCTCTTAGACCAGGGATCCATCAAATTGCAGAGGGCAAACTGCCAACAGTAAAGGAATGTCATGTTCTTTTAAGAAAGTGCCTATGTGTGCCATAAAAAGGCTAGGTTCTTTCAGTGTTTGTGGTCTCCAGGTAAAGAAGAGTTTGAGATCATTGTATACTCAGGAGTTGGAACTTGATGATCCTTGAGGTCCCTTCCAACTCAGGCCATTCTGTGATTTTGGAATTACACAGACAGCCTCCATCTTGATTTTATTATAAACCTAAACTTTTTATTGGACCTAGCTCCTAATGCCTATTGAATTAATTTATTATCTCAATGAACATTTAGCTCCTAAGTACCTTTGAAGATCCAGAACAGTATTACAGCCTTATGTGTCCCTCCTAAGTACCTCCATCCCATCACTAAAACTCATTTATGGATGCTGTCAAAAGTTGTCAGGGTATACAGCTGTCAGCGTCCTCATCAGCAACAGATCCCCCATGTTTGCTCACTCCCACTGAATGCATGTTTCCCACAGAGCTCCAAAGTTGGAGCTCTCTCTGAGTTCTCTCTCTGGAGAACAAGAATGCCAAGGTACTCCCTGTAGCAGAGTCTCCTAGCACCCTGAAACATATAACTAAGTTTTAAACCATTTATTTCAGAGCTAAACTAACAACTGAATGACTAAACTATCATGGATCTTCAGCCATATCTTGCAAACAAGCCTTTCACAATCAGCATGGTATTCCATACTGGCAGCACTGAGCTGAGGAAAGGGAAACAAACGTAGCTTAAAATACCTTTCCTTCTTAAATTCTAGGGGTCTAGTAACATCATGCCGCCTTGGTGCTTCTTTTAGTATACTGTCTGTGATGGCATTTGTGGCCATCATCTGGAAAATGGCTGTACTGCAACGTAATCTATCCATGTCTTTTCTTCTTGGACAAACCTTGGGCATGACCCTACGTGACAGATCAGAACCGCTGTAGCAGTGGAGCCTCCAGCATGCCTGCTCTGCAGAATGCCTGCTGCACTAAGTCTCTGTGGGATCTTCTCAGGGCATACAATAGGCTTTTCTGCCCCACCAGCCCTGCGTTTTCTATGGTTATGATTAGCACTAGGTAACAAGCCATATAAAAAAGTAATAAGCCTAATTCAGACATGCTCAACACAGTCATAGCACTCCTTTGTAAAATTTATTTAATGCTTTTTAGATATGCTCAAGCAACACTGGTGGAAAAAAAAATGCAATTCAAAGCGTTTGCCTGGGATAACACTCAGTTCAATGAAATTCTCAATCATGTTACATAATCTTCATTTACAAATAAAAGAAAAATGTTTGTGGAAGTGCATAAACAGCCTGTGGCTGTGGGCTTCGATCTTTTCAGCCACAGGGGTGGAAACAGCATGTCTGTTCATCTACACAGCTACATCCAAAAAGCTATATGATGCAACTGGAGTCTAACCTTACGTTTTTCAAACAGATGTATCAATGTAGCACTAAGTCAAAACAATGAAATAAAAATCTGGGACAAAACAATTAACCTATCATCAGATGTCATATTTCTTAGAGTGTTGACTAATTACACTAGCAGATTATCAACTGCAGTATCAGTGCCAAAATACTGAGTTAGTTATTACACCTTTCCCTGTGTTTTTATGTACTACACAAAATCTTTAAAAAAAAAAAAAAACTCTGAAAAATATGAAGCTTAACTGCAAAAGAAATTAATGCAACAAAATGGTGTTTTTAAGTGCTAAAGAGATATGAAGCATTGCCTCTTCATAGTGTGCTAAAGAGCAACAGCTGTATTTCATTTTAACTTGACGTGCTTCAGATCTCATATTCATATAGGTATTTAATGATCCAAACATGATGGTCCTAAAGTATAATTACGTATATGAAGGCTCAACTTCATATGTAATCTTTTTAAAAAGATGCTTCAGTAGAAACCTTGATTTGTTTCTAACAATGAATAATCTCTTTAACAGTGGAAATGCTTTGGAGGGGTTGGAAACTATTGACCATGGATCTTGAGCACGGTTGATAATCAAATAATGTTATTCCTTCTTGACAGACTCTTTGCTTCTTCTTCCTTCCCAGTAGAGCCAGTACAAGGAGAACAGGTAGAGTGCAAGACAAACCATCAAATCATAGTGGTAAAGTGTTGCAGCAAACACAAGAAAGAAGAAGAAACAAAAGATTTTGCAACCAATCTCTTTTAAACCTGGAGTCTCACTAGACAGCATCTGTTCTTCACTATTCTGGTCAGACATATCTGCAGAATGAGAAATGTTCTGTTTTTCATTCTGCGAGTCATCAAGCCAATTTAGTGTTTTCCCCTCAGTTATTAAATGGTGAGAATCAGAGCCTCTCCCAGCAACTTCTTTGGTAGCCTTACTAATTGAAATTTCTGGCCTCAATGACTTCTCTTGCTTGAACTCTGCTTGATGGAAACATTGACCTATATTGCTTCCTCTATCTTCTCTAGCAACGGTTGTGTCTGAAGTGGAAGGTACTTCTTTTCTTTCAGCTTCAGGAAAGAGGCATTTATTAATATGTTTCATTTCATTTGGGAGACTTAAATCATATCCTGACTCGGCAACAACCTTTTCAATGACTTTGAATTCAGAGTGAATATATGGATGGTCCATGTCTGCTGTGAAAGACGACAGTGGAGGGCTTTTATAGTGGTAACTGGGAATAGTGTTTGTACCAGAAGTTGGTGTTTTTGTTTGAGTTTTGACATGCAAATAGGAAGGTGTTCCAAGGTAGCTCTCTTCGCTATAGAGCTCTGCCAATTCTTCACTGTAGCGATGCTTCTGGGCACTTTGGGAATATTTAGATACTTCTTCTGAATGTAAGCCTTGCCCCAAGCCTTCTTTCTTTTCTGCAGAAGAAGCTTTCACAGCTCCTTCTGCAGGCAGAATATCTCCAATGTCTGGTTTTGCTTTGGCACATTTTTCCCTGCTATTGCATACAGACATCGTTTCTCCTTGCAGTGTTTCATGTACACGTGCATTATAAATATCTAAAACTGATTCCTTTTCAAATTCGGTGTCATATAATACACCCACTGTGTTGAGTTGACAAAGAGCATAATGTGAACCATCATTTCTCCCTTCATGTGTATCAAACGCTGTTTCCTTTTCCTCTGTGGGCCTGTCACTTAGTGCAATCTCTTGAGGTAGCTTAGCAATTACTGCTTTTTCACTGGCAGACATTTTTTCTGGAGCACTTTCTGATGTTGTTTTAATTGTATAAGCTGTACCTGCTTCTGCTTTCCCTTTAATACTGTGCTCGGAGACAGGAGACTTTTCACAGCTTTCTGCCTCTTGGCAGGTAAATAACTCTTGGGTACATGAGCTCTGAGCCCCTGCATCACTCCCTGCTGCCCACCGCACCCCACTATCTGCTCGCTTCCACGCCTGTCCAGTGGCGTTTTCTTCACTTTCTGTCCCTGTCAGTCCTCCTTTATTTCCATTCTCTGTCTTTCCTCTGTCTTTTAACCTTGTGAATCCTCTGTGTTCCTGAGCATCTTCAGCTCTGCTTTCATTCTCTGGCAAGTAAGCCCCAGGTCCTGCTTGTGCAGGCCTGGCGCTGTACTTGTTGTCTTCATCTGGCAGGAACGATGCTCTGAAGGCATGTTTTCTGTGAAACTTGAAAGGCTCGGGTGCTTCTTCCTCTCCAATTAGTGCTAAATCTGCTATTTCAATGACTCTTTTCTCCTTCTCTGTATCAGTGTTATAATTCTTTTCTGACAATTCACAAACTCCTTTTTTGTGTGTACATTGGCTTTTTGTGGATTCCATTGAGACATCAGTGTATGCAAAAGTGTCGGTATGTAAATCTCCTTTTAAATGTGCCTGAACTTTGCTTTCAATCATCTCAATTTTTCCTTCGTTTTTGTCAGCAGTTGATGACAATGAATCCAGAGTATGGTGAGATATTTTTGGCACTTGGTGCTCTGGAGCTGGATTAGCATTGCCATCCAGCGTTCCTGTTATGCATGCTTTTAATTGCAAGGATTCATCATGCACTGAAGAAATGGCTGCTGGTCTCATTTCACAGGCCTCTTTCGAGGTATCATCCTCACTGATGAATAACCTCTCCATCATCTTACTTCCTGAGGCACTATCTGCTTCACCTCTTGTAATATCTTTGTGGCTCTCTCCTTGTCGGCTTGAGACAGTAGCCGCAGTATTGATAGCCTCATTCTGCTTTGTTCCAGGGAAGTATTTTGCCGATGAAAAGGTTTCACTGATACCAGTAGAATCCCAAGACTGTTTGCTGCTGCTTGCTGAGCCAGCAGAGTCTTCCTTTTCTGATGGGTGACTATTATAACCTCCTATGGAATACTTAGCATTGCCTTTTAATTCTTCTCCTATCACTTGTGAAGTATTTTCAGATAAGGAACTGATAGGCACTGGGTGCCTCAGCAAGTCACTGCTTCTTTCTACATGGGTTAGATTTTTCTCCAGTCTTATAGCTTCACTTGGAAAATTAACTGGTTCTGTTGTGTCTAAATTCCTTTCATCTCTGGAAGAGGTACCTTTAGCTCCTGTGAAGTGCTGATTTAGCTGAAACAATAGAATAGAAAAGAATGATCAAAAAAGGCTTTACAAAAAATGTGCCAGGCAGGATTTTGTCATGGAAAGTTTTGTTTTCGGTAACAAAGCTTTTATGGAAACGTGTTCCCAACCATTTGCAAAATTTGCATTGTATGTATTTTTTAACATAGGTAATGAGCTTTATGGTGGCGTTAAAAGGAGCAGGAAATAAAATAGAATTCAGAACCCTCTCTCTTTATTCATGAGTTCAGTAAGCTGCTAGTGCATTTTATACAAATTAAATCTGAAGAGAATATTCCCTTAAAGGGTGGCTAATTCATTCTCAGCACATTCGGTTCTAGGTTTGAAGAGAGAGAGGCATTGGGGAGGGGGAGGATTGGCACTTAAATGAGGGCAGTGATACAGTACATCAAAGCCTGGTAATGTACAGCATTGTCCAGTAAAACAAAGACACATTTCACACTGACAAATACTGTAAGGATTATCTTTGCTTCATTTCTCCCAGGGACCATTTTACAGGCTTCAAACCAGACTGATTTTAGACAATCTAGTAAGACATGAGTTGGAAATGAGATTAGTAAAGTAAAAGGCCAGAAACTAATCACTCTCCCTCCTAGCTCCCATATATCATATTGTATTATTCAGCTATGGCTGCTTGTCATTGCACTCTCTTTTCACTTTAGCACAGTCACACTGATAGCACTAGCTGATCAATTAGAGGCTAGCTTCTTGGGCACCCCTTTATGCATTTGCACTTGCTGTAGATACCCCCGTTACAGTTTCTCTTATTAATATGTTTTCTGCAAAGCCTCTGCAAACTATTAATAGTAAAACGTCACTCAAAGAAAAGTGAGGGAGCTAATGTCTCTGCAAATTCTGTTTTAATGACCCTCTGCCAACCCAGTGCTCAAGTGTATTTGAGTTCTTCGGTGATGCCAACTGTCAGGATTTAACAGTGAGATGCCTGTGTTTTTTTCCCCTCCTCATAACTGACATTTGCATGATCTCAATAATTATATGCAAATCTTACGATTTCCCCTTCTTCTCACATAAGGCTCATGTTACTTGTCAACTGCACAGCTGTCTTGTGAGCCAATGCCTGTGCGTTTCAAAGATTTGGTTGTATTTCCATCTATTGTAAGCCTTCATTGTTTAATTCATTAAAGAGCGCATAGTGCAAATTAACATCTAAATTATAGCTCCCCCTTCATTTATTGTACAGACAATCCTGGCAATTGATAAACAAACGGTTATATTTGATCCTGCTTTTTGTAACAGAGTGGACTGAGAACAACAAGGGATTTTGAGGTCCTCCTTTTTTATGTTTCATCATGAAAGAAAAAAAAAAGAGAGAGACAGGTTGACTTCCAGGCAGTGAAATATCCCACAGTAGGCAACAATTTTGAACTTTTTTGGAGAAAAGGCAAGAAAAAAATATATTCAAATAAGAGGAATTTATTCTCTCTCTATTAATGAGGAAAAAAAAAAATGGTTCTCATCTTCCTCTCCTGATCCAGCATTCACATTTTCACAGGTGATAGCTGTTATAATCTATGATTACAAATCTGTGCACCCAAATGATTGTGAGCTTAGAACAGACACGGAGAATAATAAATTGCTGTATGTGTCTCATTTATTGCTGTTTTTTCTTTCATACTGAAAAATGTAAGCCAAACCACACACATGCACACACACAAACCCAAATAGACTGAATGTTCACTCAGCATAAAATTTCTTATAACTAATTTTGTACCAAATGCTGATATAGAAAGATGTGCTATATAAATATATGTATTTTGTTCATATAGCACGTTACATAGTTACGCTTTGAAAACAACTAAAAGCAAACAGTAGCATAAATAAAAGAATTATATCAAATATAAAGCATTTCTACAAGAATGTACCTATCCCAGAAACTAGGATGACAGATCTTTGAAATATTAGCCTTCTAATTCCTTCAAACCGTCACTTAGAGCCTCTGGTAAAGAGGTAAAAGGGAGAAGTCATTAATTTAAGACCAGAAAAAGTTGATGCACTATGCTGAAATCAAAGCACCTTCTATTGTCGAATCAGTTAGAAATTCAATGAAAGTACAGACCAAGGCTTTACATTTGTAAATTAGTACATCAGTCAGCTCTGTTAAAAGGGGGCATTTCACCAGCTTTGAAGCGTAAATGGATTCATATCATTTAATACTGTAGATATAATTGTATAACACTTACCAGCAACTCTAATTCTTTTTCATCATCTTCGTGATCACCCTGGTTGTATTCTGCATTTTTATCTTTTATATTTTCATCAGCTGGTGCATTCTCTTTGTCTTCTGCTTGTGAACAAACAATCTCTGGGATGTTTGCATCTGAAGAGTTAACAAAAACACGCTTGAATAATTTCTATGGGATTATTTCTTACACTTCTTTAATTAACATGAACGCTAAGAAAGAACTAATTAAACCAGGTGTAGTACCTGAAGTCCTTGAATTATTCCATATGTCACCATCTGATGTTTCCAATATTTCTTCTTTGCTGTTAAACAAAAAGAAACTTTCTGTATTATTCTGCAGAAAAATATTGTTCTAATTGCTCTTAGACTCAGCTAGAAAGACAGCTGGTTAATTACACAAAATTTTGAATGCTCTTTGAAAGTCTGAAGATAACAAGCTTATCAAAAGTAGTTTCTTCGATTGACCTGATATTAACTTTTGGACAAAGAAAGAATTGGCCAAGAAAATGAAAATGTGCTGACCTTCAAATTACATTACAAAGCTGATGGGTTTTCCCAGGCCTTTTCTGAGAAAGTAGCACAAAGGTAATTAGATGGGTTATTGACAGGCAAGAGTAACTTTGGGGTCAGACAACAATCTGCAAAGATGCATGTTCACAGGAGACTGGAACTCTCACTTATTTATATTTTTCAAATATTTGTGTACAGAGCTTGCTAGAAAAAGACATATTTGTAACGTGAAACAAATCAAAAGATTATCTCTGTGTGCATACAGTATAGATCCTGTTGCTAAGCTGTGGATGGCTGATAGGAATGAATACTGCTTCCCTGAAGCCAATGCACTTTTTGTTTGTGCTGTTGTGAAAACAAAGGTCAGGTCCAACGCAACAAACACCTACAGAGAGATGCTGAGCACCTGCTGTCCTTATCAGTACCAATGCAAAATGATAGCAGTTGCAATTGTCTGTTCACATGGGTTGCAACATTTAGTAAAAAGGAGAAAAAATGTAAAAAGGATGTGACATATAAAATGTGAATTATTATGTCACTCCCAATGCTTTCACTATGAGCTGGATTTTTTTTTTCTGTAGGTTTTTAATTTATGCATTTTTCAGCCAGCTGTCCACCTGTATTACTGAAAGTTAGTTTCTAATTTTCAAATATTAATCTTTTCCTCCTTCTGTATTCTTCTAGGGTGGTTTTTTTTCCATTCAAATTGATATAACATTAACTCTGCCACTTAAAATGCTTAATTCAGAAGGAGGATGCTAAATTTATACTTCATTAAAAGGTACTACACACTGACTGTCACCAACTTTTAAGAATCCAGCCTTTCCAGGGATTGCCAGACAAAAGCAGACAGAAGATCATTCCAATCTAGCATCTGATCTCTGACCCTGGCCACCATCAGGTACTTCAGGGGGAAATGTAAAGTTCTTGTAGGAAAAGATATGGGGTAATCTGAATTGCCCTATTAAATTTTTTCTTGGGCTTTGTTAGACATTTGTCCTTAAGGCATCAGATTTAACACTCTTTCAGTGGTTCTTTTTTTCCCATTAATCACAATAATGCTGAATATTCTTGTTATCCATATGAATGTAACATCACTTTTGAGTTCTGCTACATGTATAGCCTCCACACATTTCTCCCTCTCCTACTCACACCAAGTTGTACTTTCCTCTGCCAACAGCTGCTGTAATCAGAATAATCTGCATTTCATCCTGCAGAGGCTGACAGAGAAAGACCTTTATTTTCAGATCTGTGCATTTTTTAAGGTAAAACATCACTGATTATTATTGATTCATCATTATATTTGTACTGTTACTGTTATATACTAATTTTACTCTTAATGTTATATGAAGAACCCTGTTTTGTTCCATCACTTTGCAACTTTTTCAGCCACCTGTGTCCATAAACCTAGCCATATGGAGTAGGTTGGGGCTTAATCATGAGACAGATACATACAAAAGTCTAGTTGCTAACGGAGTATCTGCAAAAGCCTTAAGTTCGGAACCAAAACTCTGTGTAACATGTGAGATGAGTCAAAAATAATGATCTCAAAACCACATGGGCTGAGCAGAAGGTCTGCTACTTTTAACCAGTGGGGGAAAAACATCTCAAAGCCTTCATTTGAATGTAGATTCAATAGGCTACAGATTCAGGGCTACCTGCAGCTTCCAGCTATATGGATATAACTCTCAGGAAGCAGAGGTGGCATCTTTTGCTGCTAGACAGAGTCCTCACCTGCTCCTTAAAGAAATGGAGTGTGACCCACTCTAGTCCTTCAAGAAGCACTCCCAGAAAAAAGGGATGCCTGTATATGAAGTAATAGTCTACTATCAATGGAGCTTGCATACAAAATGCAGTGGCACACTCAACTTCGATCACAGCCCCAGGAGATTAAAAAATACACTGCATACACATCCAAAAACTACTCAAGTGTCTGCTGCTCTTGAAGTTGGATGTACTAGCCTGACTCTTTAGCTTATTCTTCATTTCTAGAAGAAAAAAAAGGAACTGGATTCTGTCCCCAGTTGCACATGCTTCTTATCCAGTGATTATTTTTGTTTTTGACAAACACCTTTTTGGTGTAAAATACAGATGCTATTGAATAAGATTATTAAGAAGGAGAACCTCTTTCTGGATGTATATAGCTGCTTTGAGGTGGATGCCACAATGTGTCTTAGCTTCTGAGTCTCACTTTCCTAAGCACCTGTGCTCAGGCAGTTGTGTACATCACCCCTGTCATCACTGATGAGAGACTAACGCTTCTGAAGAGAAATTTGCTTCCTCTGTTTTGGACATCGCCAGTGAGATGGAGAGAGATATCCTTTGAAGGAGCTTCTCTCCCTCTGGAGGAACTGACCATAAAAGAAATCTACAGTGACTGCCTTAGGCTGAAATCAAAAGTTTTAGATAACTGAAATAAGCTGAACTGAATCCCACAATGTGACTCCAAATCCAAACTGGGAAGTAGCTAACGAGTTTTAGCAGCTGGGACTGCACCACATTCTATGTGACCTGAGCACCTCAGTTTTACTTGGCTGTGTTTGTCCCTTGTTCCAGTATCACCTAAAGCCCTGGACCACAGGTTTCTTTTCACAGCTGTAACAGATAATAAATATCAATGATAATATAATCCCACAGCATGAATCCACAGCAAAAGAAAATAGTGCACCATTTCAGGGTTTCTAACATGACTCGTTTCTTGTTGCACTGAATTTTGTAGAGATTGTTGCTTTGTAACCCGTAATTTGTGCAGCTCTGTCCTGCAAATGCTTGGCTACAGGGAAATGCAGTGCAACAACTATTTTCCTTATTTTACTTCTACATCAGAAATATCTGTCCTCATATAATTATTCTAGTGGGAAATCTGAAATTAACCTAAATTGAAGATATTATTAGTGCAGTCTTTGAGGATCACAGGATGCATAAAACAATTGTAATTTAACAACACTATTTTAATCCAAGAAATGTTATGAAGGTGCTGAATCCATAGTTGATATAACTTAAGAAAAATCTCAAAGGTATATTTAGACTTTAAAGAGTGAAATGTCTCCCCAAAGCCTATAAATACTGGCCATTTCGACAAACAGTGATAAATAGATAGGAAAAAAATCTCTACTATTAAAACATTTAATCAGTTTTTAACACTGCTTTTCAAGAGTATCCTTTCTTCTTTGTTCTCTATGGAAGCTGCTTGTCTAGTTAGTTAAGCAAATTGTTAGAATAATTCAGCTTTTGTGTTTTAAATTAAGTAACTCACTGGTTTTCAGGGATCTAAATGTACCTACATTGTGTACTGAGAGGCACAAAATTTTTAATTTTAGTCAGTTTAAAAATGTTTATTTTTACTTTTAAGTGGAACTAGATATTCCGACAAAAATGCAAGTTAGAAAAATTCCTGCTGTCAGCCAGTGCCTTTTGCCTCCAAAATAAGTACCTGCACACCTGTAGAAGCTCAGTTGGTTTTTTTCCCTTCGTATGAGCAGTTCCTCAGAAACTTAAGAATTTCTACCAGCTTCAAAAAAATTTTGCTTATATGATTCACTCTTGATGGAACTACCATTCATTTGGAATTTGAACTGAGTGATAATAAGAAGTAGGAATGCAAATAGGCTATGGGTATAATTTTGCCCTTAGACAGAGTACAAAGGCGAAGCTCAGGCACTGGTTAGTAGGACTGAGAGGACTGGAGAGTTGATGGACATTATGGAAAGGATTTCAACAGTCTCAAAGTTAAGTAAAATTTTAATCCCAAAGAAAAATGCAAATTTGAATCTTAAGGTGATCACCTAAAGATATGAAGAGTAAGTAGAGAACATATGAGTGATGTAAAAAAAATAAATAAATAAAAATTAAAAAAAGCATTGTTTTGTCTTTAGAAGTTATTGGGATAAAGTAATATATGGCAAGGATGTTGAATTAACTTTTTTTAGTTAAACAGGATTTTTAGAGGAGAGAGGTTTGACCAAGATTTCAGATAAGTTATGTATAATTCCACAATCAAAAGACTTCTCTGAAGCTTTTCTACCCCAGTGCTGGCAATGGGACAGAGTCTCATTTAGAGGAACAGTATGAGCAAGGTATAACTGATGGGAAAATAGATTAAGAAAATGGTATTATTTAATTCAGTCTGGGAGAAGAACTTGTTTAGATATGCTCCAGTTACGAGAATCAGATAATCTCCAACTCAAAATAGTGACAGACCCAAGAGAGGAAACAACACATAGTTGACATTCTTTTCTATTCAAATCTATCATTTTGGTCCAGATACTTTTGTAACAACATCAGGAGACAAGGAAAAAGATTTAGGAAAATTAAAAGTAGTGCCTGGCAACTTTGGACCCAGGTGTCTTCAAAAAAGTCTTCACAGTAGACAAAGCTTGAAAGAGAGAATAAATACAGATAAAGGAAAATGACATAGAAATGCCAGACTCACATGATAATATCTATCTTTGTTAAGATTGCTGTATTTCCCCTGTCTAAAAATCAGTTATCTGATCTATCTGGACTTCATTAAAGCATTTGTTACGCAGCCACATGGGAAATTTATTAATTAAACTGGAGAGGAGGGAGATCAGAGCAGGAGCTCAGAGGTGGGAGAGGAGCTCGGTGCCAAGCGGGGCCTCACAAGACCGGCTGCGCCGAGCTGGCAGACGTCGCCCTGGAATTCGAGAGGACCAGCCGTGTGATCGCTCAGTCATTTTATTACAGACCACAGCACAAAAAGTCAAAGTTAAATTAAATCTGTGGCAGATAGGAAGTTGGGAGACATCACCGTCACAGAGGAGGATTGAAA